TGTAGGATGTAGTTTTCTCAGTAGGCTGCATGATGTGGATGGGCCGACTGTTGTGGAGACAGTAGGATGTGGATTTGTATGTAGATAAGATATTGTGGATTGATGGATTGATTTTAGGATGTAGACTGATATAGAGCGATGTAGAGTGATCCGGTATTTCCAAAGAGTAAGCCTTGGTATCGAAAAGTCTGTATTTGTAAGTTAAATCCAAATTTGAAGCAATTAAAAAAAAAAAAATCAATAAGCCTGTTTGTTTTACCTGGGCCGCAAAAAGTAATGGCGAAGCTAATTTATTTATCAGGATTTAGTTGGATAATTGCATTTGAATATCAAATCAGAATTCGCCTCGGTCCCGCGAGGCATTCGAGAAGGATCTCGAAAAGATCTTTTATCAACGATTATTTTCATTTTTTTTTTTTAACAATAATGCTATATTTTTCTCCTCCCCCTTTCTCTCACTCTTACTCCTTGTGCTTACACACACACACGCACGCACGCGCGCACGCACGCACGCACTACACACACACACACACACATACACACACACACACACACACACACACGCACACACACACACACACACACACGCACACACACATACACACACACACACACACACACACACACACACACAACACACACACACACACACACACACACACACACACACACACACACACACTGTGTGTGTGTGTGTTTATGTGTGTGTGTGTGTGTGTGTGTGTGTGTGTGTGATTGTGTGTGTGATTGTGTGTATGTATATTAATGAATTGTATAAATAGATAAATGTTTGTATGAATTCATGTATGTGTGTATATATTATATATATATATATATATAATATATATATATATATATATATATAATATATATATTATATATACATTTAGATAATTCTTAATTTTTCTTGCGTTTATTTAGGTTTCAAATACTTAGAGATATACCCTGTTCATTACGTTTGCGAGTTTGTGTGCATGTAAGCTTCTGTTGATATTTATTTGTTTAAACGTTTGACCTGCATGTATGTCTCCGTGTACGTGTGCGTATTTACGTTCGGAAATTGTTTTATATAAGAGTCACTATAAATACAGCGGCGGATCCTCGCGGGCAGGAGGAGGCTCACCTTTCACTAAACTTGGTCCCCGCCTTTGCGTCATCCGAGTTGACCAAGTTTGGAAATCCGGCTCAGCGTCAGGATTCCGTTTTTGTGCTCGTCGCCACGAACAGGGGCGCGCGGCAAGGTACATTTTCTTGCCGTTTATTATTAGCAGGACTATTTTCATATCCTACGAGCAGCGTTGTTATATGGTAGTATCTGTTGTTATTCGCTGTTTATTTTATTGTTTTCTATTAATATGAACTTCTTGGTATTTTGGTTATATCTTGTCAGTAGTATTTGTATTGTTATTACTGTGATGGTATCATGATGATCGAGTCGAACTTGGTTGTCAGAGTCGAAGTATGATATGCTGGTACAGGGGTAGTATAATAATATAATGGCTATATGAAATATACTAAGATATTTTGGATATGATATTATGTTGTTGGAATAGAGGTTATATAAAAGACCAGTATGATACACTGACCGCGGCAAACGGACGCTGACCGGCGAGTTCTTGAGCCGTTGAGCAAACCGCCAAACGCCGCCGGTACCGCCCCGGGACACGCCGACACTGGGAGATGCCGCGGACTTACGAAGCGGGAAGAAAGCGAAATCTTGGAAGAATCATAAATGCAAATTGAATAAAAGAATGGGCGGAGGAGGAGACGGCCGAAGCCCCGTGGCGGGTGTGGGCTCGCGCGTAAATATCACTGCTTATGGACATCAGACTTCCTTCACGTGCGGCGCCTCTCTCCTTCTCCGCTCTGATTTTCCTCTTCGGTTTTCTCTCTTTTCTTTTCACCCGCTTCTCACTTGTCTTCCCCTTTTATTTCCCAGTTTCCTTTCTATTTTGTCGTTCCTTTCTCTCTACTCCTACACTATTATTTTCCTTTTCTTTTTTCCTTTCCCCTTCTTCTCTCTCCTCTTCCCCTCTTCTATCTCCTCCGGCTCTCCTATTTCCCATGCTATTCTCCTCATTTCTCTCCTTCTTGCCTCTAATTTTCCTTTTGATGTTCTCCGTCACTTGCCCCATCCTCCACCTTGCATTTTAACCTCTCCTCCTCTCGTATTTCCCATTATCCTTTTCCTTTCCCCTCTCTCCTCTGCCTCTCTCCCTAGCCGCCTTCTCCCCACCCCCGCGTGTTCTCGGGCATTCAGCTAAGGGACAATATGACCCTTTCTTATCCCTTCTTCCCTCTCTCCCCTCTCCCGCTTTCCAGCGGGGCCTACCTCACCCCTCACCCTCACTCCCCTCCCACTCTCGTCTTGTGTCCATTTTGAGACACCATATATGATTTTGATAATACCGGGAGCCATTCACCAAAATCTCCTTAGTATTCACTTGTATTTGGCGGCCGTAGGGGCGCAAACACGCGGAAGTAAAAGCAGGAGGATATA